ACTGGCTGATCACATGCAGAAGATTGAAACAGGACCCCTACCTATCACCATACACAAAAATTAACTCTAAATGGATCAAAGACCTAAATGTAAATCTTAGAAAACGCAGGACACATCCTTATGGAAATTGGAACTGACAAAAAATTCCTGATCAGAACCCTAGATGCCCATGCCATAAGAGGTAAGTGGGACCTCATCAAACTGACAAGCTTCTACAAAGCAAAAGAAACTATCAAGAGAGCAAGGAGACAGCCCACAGAATGGGAAAAAATATTTGCCAACTGTATATGGGACAAAGGCTTAACATCTAGGATCTACAAGGAACTCAAATGTGCTGAGAGAAAAAAACCAAACAACCCCATTAAAAAAAGGGCAAAAGACATGAATAGACACTCCTCAAAAGAAGATATACAGGTAGCCAACAGACACATAAAAAAGTGCTCAGCCTCACACTAATCATCAGAGAAATGCAAATCAAAACCACATTGAGATGCCACCTAACCACAGTAAAGAATAGCCATCATTAATAAAACAAACACAGCCAGGCTCGGTGGCTCAGCCTGTAATCCCGCGCTTTGGGAGGCTGAGGTGAGTGGATTGCCTGAGCCCGCAGGTTCAAGACCTGTCTGGGCAAGTTGGCGAGACCTCATCTCTACAATAAATAAAAAAAATCAGCTGGGTGTGGCAGCGCATGCCTGTAATTCCGGCTACTCGGAAGGCTGAGGTGGAAGGATCACCGGAGTCCAGCAGGTCAAGGCTGTGGTGGCTGGAAGTGGCCACTGCACTCCAGTCTGGGCAACAAAGTGAGACTCCAACTCAAAAAAAATAAATAAATAAAATTTAAAAATTAAAACAAACAACGACAGATGCTGGAGAGGATGCAGAGAAAAAGAATTGCTTCTACACTGCTGGTGGCAAAGCAAACTAGTACAACCTCTTTGGAAGACAGTGTGGCGATTTCTGAAAGAACTAGAAATTGACCTTTCATAACTCAAATCATTCTACAAAAAAAGATACCTACACATGTATGTCTGTTGCAGCTCTATTACAATAGCAAAAACATGGAACCAACCCTGCTGCCCATCAGAGCTGGACTGGATTAAAAAAAGTACATATACACAATGGAATATTATGCAGCCACGAAGAAGGACAAACATATGGACTTCACAGCAACTTGGATGAATTTAGAGTTGATCATACTCAGTGATCTATCACAGAAACAAAGAACAGAGTACCATATGTTTTCATTCATAAGCAGACTTTGAACAACTGTCACAATACTCTAAGAAAGGGATTGGCAGTAATGGGAAACTGCCAGGGGAGGCGGGGATTGGCAGTTGATTGACACCTCATCAACAAGGGTATCTGCATAATCAATGTTTGTATGCCTAACCCTGAATTATACACCACAGATCTTTAAAATAAATAAAAAACAAAAAATAAATTTCAAATTAAAAATAAAACTTAAAAAATGGGTAGGGAGCAATAGTCATTTTCACAAAATGTGTCAACATTTAATTAATATTTAATTTTAAATTCCTGACACCTTGAATATACACAAACAAAGGCTCTTTGGGGCTCACAATAATTTTTAAGAGTGTAAAGGAGTCCTAAGACCAAAAAATTTTGAGAACCACCAGACTAGTTTATAAGAACTGGCTATACTACATAATGGTATATACCCATCATCCTACTGAAACAGACTCATAGGAAACAAAATAGCAAGGCAGGCATTCATTCTATATTAATACTTACATTACTTGGTACCTACTAAATGCTAGAGATTCAAAGATAAAGATAAGGGACTCAAACAAATAGGGGAATTTGCCAAGGTAAACAATTTTTTTCTTTAGTTAGAGTTTCACTGTCTCCCAGGTTGGAGTGCAGTGGCATGCTCATAGTCACTGCAGCTTTAACTTGATGGGCTCAGGCGATCCTTCTGCCTCAGCCTTCCCAGTAGCTGGAACTATAGGCATGCACCACCATGCCTGGCTAATTTTTCTTGATTTATTGTAGAGAGGCAGTCTTGCCAAGTTGCCCAGGTGGTCTCAAACCTCTGGACTCAGGTAACCTACTCTCATCTCCGCCTCCAAGGTAAACAATTACACCACATGACTTCAAGGTAAACAATTACACCACAGTGTGATACCCTCTTGTGATAAACATGTACTGTGAGTGCACAGGTAAGAGACACTGAACATATACTATGGGAGGGGCGGAGTGGGACAGTAGGGTCATGGAAGGCCTCAAGTATGTACCATAAACTATATTTTCATATACTGAATTCTCCAAACAAGTCCATAAAGCGTTACTTGCTCAGTTTTACAAATGAGTAAAACCCATGTTCTCCTCTCTGTCCAAGGCACAACTAGTACTAGTGGGACCAGCATTGTGAAATGCAGTCTGACTGACTCCAGGGTTCACATCCTGCTACCACACACAGATGGCAATGACTTTGGGAGGCTGCTGCCCTGAAGTAAGAGGAGGGTGTACCTGTGTTGAAAAAGACGTGAAGCCTAAATACACAGGTGCAGCTCACTGAATGGAACTAAGGAAAATCCATCTCTATAATACATGTGCTTCTGTAAATGTAAGACCCGTCCTTGCCTGTCATTAAATCTGATTCCACCCACCTCCACACTGCAAAAAAAAAAAAACAGATCCAAATAGTTGGATCATCTAGAACAACCCCTACATTTCAGGGGTGGTCCTGGAAACCACCTTTATTGGGGATAACATGATAATTTTATATTTTAGACACATCAAGCTAAATATTTTGTTTATTTTTGAGTCAGGGTCTCACTCTGTCGTCCAGGCTGGAGGGCAGTGGCACGCTCATGGCCACCACAGCCTTGACCTGCTGGGCTCAGGCAATCCTTCTGCTTCAGCCTTCCAAGTAACTGGACATACAGGCGTGCACCACCATGCCTGGTTAATTTTTTAATTTATCGCAGAGATGAGGTCTTGCCATATTGCCCAGGCTGGCCTCAAACCCATGGGCTCAGGCAATCCTCTCGCCTCTGCCTTCAAGTTAAATATTTTAAAAACTGATTTTGATTCAACAGTAAGAGACCACATTCATTATCTCAACAAAATATATAATCCAATTAAAAAGGGCTTATTAGACATTTCTCCCAAGAAGAAATGCGCCTTGTTGGCAGAACTGTAAAATGGTACACAACTGCTATGGAAAACAGTACAGCAGTTCCTTAAAAAATTTAAAAATAGAAAAGAAGGAAAAATTTTTTTAAAAAGTTAAAAATTAGCTGACCATGGTGGTACAAGCTTGTAGTCCCAGCTATTCAGGAGGCTAAGGTGGGAGGATCACTTGAGCCCGGGAATTTGAAGATGTACTGCACTACAGCCTAGGACACAGAGCAAGACCCTACCACTAATAATAATAATAAAAATAAAACTTATGATCCAGCAATCCCACTTCTGGGTATACAAGGGGGGAACCCCAAAAGAAACAATTTATAAAAAATTATGTAATTATTCTTACATGTTTAAACTTCAGTCACCTTCAAAGTACTCTCCGTTTGATGCAATACACCTATCGAGATACTTTTTCCACTGTTCAAAACAGTTTTTGAATGCACTGATTTTGATGCCCTTTAGTGTTTCTGTTTTTGCTTCACCTCTTCCACACTGAGGACTTTTTTCATTGGGGAACAACAAAAAAAAAAGGTTGCTCAGGGAGAGATCAGGTAAATAGGGACAGTGGGGCACCAGGGTCATGCCATTTTTGGATGAACACCCAAGTGTGGTGTGAGCAGATATGCTGGCAAATCATCCATCATGAAATGGGCAAACATGTTGAAAGAATCTCCAAAAAAAATTCACTAAACGCAGCCTCTCACAACAACGCTAGCTGGTACAGATGCCAGCGGATTTCTAGAACACTTACTTATACAGGGGGACGCCTTTACTACAAGGGGCCTGCCCTCCAGAAAAGAATTGTGTTTTGAGGGGCTTCCCCTTATACATCCAACACAACTGAAAGCAGTCTCAAAGACCTTGCAAACCCATGTTCATAGGAACACCATTCACAGCAGCCAAGAGGTGGAGACAATTCAAACCACACTGCAGAAGTTCAATGGGAAATATATTTTAAAAACACAAAATAGGTCAGATAAGTCAGCTACGTCTTTGGCTTAGGACAACAAACTGTCAAGCTCCTTATGTTTTCTTGCTCCCATACCACACACATGCTGTCGCAAACTGCTACACATTCAGACAAAAGACATTAAGGAGAAATGTAATCACTGTCAAGGCAAAGAGACGGAACTAAGGCAGAGACAATCAGAAAGCACTAGCTCTTGAGGAGCTTATATCTGCAGGAGCCACAGGAATGTAACAAAATATGGAACACATAACCAACATCTTCCTTCTAATATAGCTTAAGAAAGTAATTTACACAAGATGCACACAGAGAGTCAACCGTAAGACAGTTCACAGGAACATCCTTAACGAACGTTAAGGACCCAGTGCATAAATGAAGATGTATCCACGTGATGAGATATTATACAGTCACTAAAAATAAAGAAGCATTTAAGGTTCAGTACAGTATTAATATTGAATTTTTAGTGCTCATAAAATTTAGATAACAGTGAGTTCTTTAATCAACAGTTACAGAAAAAGCAAAGCAAACAGTATTAAAGCAAAATTCTATTTCTCAAAATAGATATAAAGCTGAAAAATGAGTGGTTTATCTAAATTTTCTAATTTCATAATACTGTATGTCCCTTTTTTATCATTTTCAAGTTGAACCTGTCTCAATCTATGCAATCGCTTTCAAGTTAGAGAAAAGGCAATAATGAAGTTCTTATCAGGATGACAAAAGGCCAACAATGACAGATGAGAAAGTTCCAAAGTGACCTAAGGCAAGTCATTTTACCCCTCTGAGCCTCAGTTTCCACATTTATAAATGAGGTCAATATGTCTCACCTTTTAAGATGGAAAGAGTGAAAATTAAATACAGTATGTATGTCAGATACCTATGCTGGGGGAGATAAGACCTGGGGGTAATAAATGCAATCATGGAATTATATACAAGGTATCAAGATGCCAGAGAGGAGGAGGCCATTAAAACTAGCTGTCTGGAGGGAATGACAGGCAGGACATGCCCTCTGGGCTGGGCTCTGAAAGCTGAATGGTGCTGTCATGCCCTTAAGGGCGAAGCACAATTTGGCCAAAGGGGCTAAAGGCCCAAGTCTTGTGTTCAAGGAGCAGAGGAGTCCCATTCTTGGAGAATGACCTGCGCATGTCCTTGGGGAGTGCGATGCAGCTGGAGAAGGATGGATAGGGGAGAGGAAGCAGCAGCAGACCAGGACCCTCAGGGAACTCTCAAGACCCCCTGACACCACCATGGAATACTTTTTTCTCTCTCATGTGAAGCAGAGGAAATCAATGATTTTTCTCAAGTATGTTACACCAAGATCTGTGTGTCCTTTTCCCAGAATATAGACTATTATTAAGAAAATGTAAACATCTGCACAATCTATGGCCCAAAGCTTCTACGTCTGGAGCTTGAGGTAACTTGTTGTCACACTTCTATTAGAAAGAACTTGTCTTCAGTGAAGAAGAGCTATGATGGATATCATGTAGGCCCAAAGGCTACCCTAAGGAAGGTGATCAAAGGAGGAAGCTTTACTCCTTCCTAAGTCACCTGGTTGTACCCAGGGAGCTGGGGAGTGGCAGGGCTCAAAGCTTTCACTGTCTACTCCCTTGCCCAGCTGAGCCACACCACCTATGAGGTTCAAAACATTTCGCTCATTTGAAGAAATCTGTTGTGAAAAATTGTTTCACTGCAATTTAAACAGATAGGGGAGTTATTCCCAATTTTGGCAGGTAGGAATGCAATTAAGATTACGAAGTCACCTGTACGCTCAATTGAGAGATGTCAGATTCCTTGGAGTTGGGTTGTTTGTGGATCCAGTAACAACAAAAAATCAGTTAAATAAAAATTCACAAAAGAAATGTGCACTACTGAAGTAAGTAGAGGAGGGAAAGCTATAAATCAATTAGGTCCACAGGCAGCCTCTCCTCCAGGCTCACTGGCCTTCTAGGGTTTTGTCCCTCACCTGAACCAGTTACCCTGGAGCAGTCAACCTGACTCTGGTCACCTCACTCCCTAGTACCTGCTCTCTTTCAACCTAGCCATCATTTTAAAAATAAACAAAAAGAGCCGGGCTCGGTGGCTCAGCCTGTAATCCCACGCCTTTGGGAGGCTGAAGTGAGTGGATTGCCTGAGACCCGCCTGGGCAGCGAGACCTCATCTCTACAATAAATCAAAAAATCAGCTT